GAAACAGAAAATATTAACCAGAAGAAACTCTATACCATGGTGATCTGTATCTTAGTTCTTTTTACTATTGGGAAAGCAATGATAAAATTTTCTTGTGGCATAAGGGGGAAAGGGATGGTTTAAGGAAGAGTGGTAGTAGAAGTGGACTATATGTGCATCTTTTTATTCGACTGCACTTCATTTCACCAGAAACCTACTGACACACACCACTGCCACCTCAGCCCATCAAGGAGCCAGTAAGGAATGATGTTGGAGTGAAGGTACCAATTAGCCCCATATCACACACGAATAGAAAGAAAAGCCATGGGATGCACCTGCTTTTATCTCTCATTTCTCAGGATTAGCATGTCCACTCTCACCTGGCAGGCCAGGTGGATGTGGAGAATGTTGAGCCCTGGTATAATTGATAAAAGTGTGTGTTGACCGAGAGCCCCAGTTGCTGAGCTCTGAAATCCATCCCTACGTTTGCTCAGAGGCCACACACCCGCTTCCCACAGGCTGCTCCCAACTGAAGACTGAGAGTGGGGGGACGCTAAGGCAGGCCTGCTCCTGGGACGCTGGGGCCCCTCTGCTGGTGGACTTTGGCTCAAGGGCACTCCCCTCCCCTTAAAGAACCTTCTTTAGGCTGCACAGGCAGTCAAGAATGCCTGCACTCTAACTTCCTTCCCTCCCCACTTCAGCCTTACCTGGCTTCGTCCTCTTTTATCTCACAGGTATTTCCCCTAATAAAGTCCTTACACATTTAACTCTGTGTATTACGTATTTGGGTTAGCTGCAAGAGACATCAAGAACTCGCACAGATACACAAGAAATTAATAACAGTGGTACCCAGTGTGAGGTTTTGGTAAGAACTTGTGAACGGGGAAAAGAGCTGGAAGGGGGCTCTTCACTGGGTACATTATAATACATTTTTGGTTTTCCAAGCAAGTACCTGTGTAATCATCAGAAAATGTAAAATCAAATATTTGGATAAAAACACATGAATTTGAGAAAGAAGAAAATGTAGGTTTTGGAAATCAAGCTGATCTCCAAGTCTCATCCTTTGTGATCTTGGGAAAATTACTGAGTGCTACTGGGTTTGTTTGTTTTTTCTATCTAAATGGATATTTTTATTAAGAAACTTTTAAAAATTACAGTTGACATTCAATATTATATTAGTTTCAGGTGTATAGCATAGTGATTAGACACATATATAACTTACAAAGTGATCCCCCTGTAAGTCTAGTACTCGCCTGGCACCATATATAGTTATTATCATATTATTGACTATATTCCCTATGCTGTACTTTATGTCCCTGTGGCTATTTTGTAACTGCCAATTTATACTTAATCCCTTCACCTTTTTTACCCATCTCCCAACACCCCTCCCATCTGGCAACCATCAGTTTGTTGTCCGTATCTATGAGTTTGTTTCTATTTTGTTTGTTTATTTTGTTTTTTAGATTCCACATACAAGTGAGATCATATGGTATTTGTCTTTCTCAGCCTGACTTATGTCACTTAGCATAATACCCTCTAGGTCCATCCATGTTGTCGCAAATGGTAAGATTTCATTATTTTCTTATGGCCGATTAGATTCTTGATTTCCATGATTTGCTTTCCTCCTTAAAGGAGAATTCTATAACCTCAGTCACTGGTTCCCTGCAGAGGGCTTACACCTGCCCACTTCCAACAGACTTGGCTGGGGAACTTGCTGGGGGCAGGGGACAGTGGGGTTGAGCGATAGGTGAGTCTGAGCAGAAGCTTTAAAGATCCCATGCACAGAGTAGTCGTTGCTCTCCCTTCCCTCTGTCACAGAAGCACAAGTCCCAAGGAGGGGCTGCTTCCGCAGCTTGGGCTCTGGAATACAATTGCGAGCCACAGCTGCCTGTAGCTGTTGCCACTGACACGCAATGTGAGTTACACAAGCTTTTGTGGTTGAAAACTACTGTGGTTATTCTGTCAACTTTTTATTTGGAAACATTTCAGAATAAAGTCGAAAGAGTAGTACAAAGAACACCTCACTTAGCTTTACCAGTTGTTAACATTTTGCTACATTTGCTTAATTTCTCTTGCTCTGCCTCTCCACACAGCGCCCCTAGTGTTGCTGAATCATTTGAGCGTTAGTTAGAGGCATAACGATACTGGACCCCTAAATATTTCAACATTAAATCCTAAGAATAAGAACTTCCTCCTATATGACCACACTATTATCATGTCCAATACACATAACACTGATACAATAATATTATTTAGTATACAGTTCATGTTCAAGTTTCTGTCACACTGATAGCCTTTGTAATTTTTTTCTTTCTGACCCAAGATCCAAGCAAGGATCATACGTAGCTGTCAGTTGTGAGTCTCTTTAGTCTCCTTGAATTTAGAACAAACAGTTCCCTGAGCTTTTTTGGTCCATCTTTCATGAAACTGATATTTTTGAAGAGTTCAGGCCAGTTATTTTGTAGAATGTATCATTTCCTGAATGTATTTGATGTCTCTTCCTCATAAGTCTTTAGACTCAGGTTAACCATTTATGGTACGATTACTACATAGGTGATGTTGTTTCTGTCACAACCAGGAATGCACAAACAATGTCAGATTGTCCCATTTTGGATGGTAAGTTTGATCACTTTGTTATCCATCAGATTTCTCCTTTGCAATTTCCTTTAACCCGTTGCGTGTCCTCAGTAATCTGTGGGGTGATAGATACCGTAGGTCTTGATTTCCAACAAACTTTCCCCGCTGGTTTTAGCATCCATAGATGATCCCTTCCTGAATTGGTTATTGCATCAGTAGTTGCAGAATAGTGATTGTCCCCATTCTATTATTCCTCCTGTGTATTACCTGTCATTCTATTATAAAGAACACTTCCTCTCCACCCTTCACTCCCATTTATGTTTATCACCATGGACTTACAGATTTTTAACATGTGTTATAATCCTTCATCATCATTCTGTTTGCTATTTAAACTGAATCTGTACAATGGGAAGCCTCTTTTAAGATGGATCCTGTGTGCTTTTAATATGTTTCTGTCTGTCTGAGTATTTTCTTGCTTTCTGGCACAATAAGACGTTCTAGGCTCATCCTAGATATTTACTTGCATTTACCTGATTCTTTTTATTTGAGAGAGAGATTTAAGAGAGTGAGATTAAGATTTGGGGAGAAGGTTGATAAGGAAGCAAGAAAGGAGATTGAGAGAGAGGAAATATTTGGGGGAACTCTTGGCACAGTTTTATCTTGGGTAGGTCTCTGAAGCCCTCCAAATCCTAATTTCCTCTCCTGGAAAATGGAGGTTATTATGCCTATTGTGTGAGTAGGTTGTGAGAATTAATAAATATGATTGATTGGCATACATTCAGCATGAATCGCATATGTTCAATGTTTGTTGGACATGATCAATATTAACATCCTTTCAAGTTCATTTTCATGACTTCCAATCTGCTCCTAACGCGATTTATGATTAAACTTGCTTAAACTTATGTTCCGAGGCTTTGTTTAAATATTGCTCAAAATGTTCTGAAGGCAGCTAGATGGGGTTAAATGGGGATAGACTCTAAAAGACTGGTGAAACAGCTTTCAAGGAAATAACTATGCAAATTTAAGGAGGAAGCAAAAGATATACACCATACATACACATCGCACATCTATGTGTATGTATGTATATTTCCTGGTTTGAAGTAGGACCTTAAATAAGAGGTGGCCTAGTAAAATGTAGACTAGGTATAATATAAATCCAAGCTTGACCACTTACATTTCTCATTTTAAAAGTGAAGATAATGACACCTCTGCCCAGGTGTTGTGAACGTAAAATTCGGGCCAAGGAAGCAGATCTATCTAGACAAAAGGTCTTCATAAATTTTTTTTATTCCAGTTTTAAAATTGAAATACAACACTCTTTAGGTTTAAGGTGTACAGCATAATGACTTGAGGTACATTCTGCAAAATGATTACTACATGTTTGGCTAACATCCATCATCTCATCGAGTTATAAAATTTTTTCTTCCTTGTGATGAGAACTTTTAGGATTTACTCTTAGCAACTTTCAAAATCACAATACGGCATTGTTAATTATAGTCACCGTGTGATACATTACATCTCTAGCATGTACCTTATAACTGGAAGTTTGTTCTTTAGGACCACCTTCACCCAATTCTCTCTTAGCAGAGCCTCAGCCTAGCATTTGTTCTTTAGCTAGTACTGCCCCCTGGTGGTGGCGTGTTCCCATTGCAAGTCAACGAGCAGTGGCGGAAAGGCCATGGGCTGAATTTGTAAACTTAAGTGTGTTCGTTAAGTCAAGTCATAGCATGAAACAACTTTGAATAAAAGCAGTTACACACTTCGCCTATGGAATGCTTACTTCAACAGCAGTAACATCCTGGTATGAGAAAGGAATTAGGCACCGCTCTGCAACTTTTTGCAAGGGCATTCATTAGTTCACTCATTCATTCATTCATTCACTCAACAGACATCTAGTGAGTGTGTCACACACTGTTCCGGGATTTTTGCATATATATCAGCGAACACGAGAGCTGAATAAACGGAGGACCCAGGCGCAGACCCGCTCAAGCCGACCTAAACACGCACCCTTGCAAAACCGAGAGTTAAACCACAAGCTAGAAGATGTCTTGGGCGCGGCCAAGAGGGCTGAGCACAAAAGCAAGAGTAAATAGAAGCGGTCTTCCCCCAGTTTTTCTCCCTGTAAGTCGTAATTCTTTGCGGGAAGCAAGCGCTGCATCGCCCAGCAGGCTGGATTCGAACGCGCGGACAGCGGAGGGCGGCGACGCGTGCAGGACGCTGAGGGTCGGAAGGAGACGCTTGTTCCCTGCAGAGTCCCATGGGGAGGAGGACCCGCCGCCCCGGGGTCCATCACTGCTCCGTTCCCCGCTGCGCCCCTGGAACGCGCGCCGCCCCCAGACGCCATCCCCCCGGCGGCTAAGCCTCCGCGAGGCGCGAGCGCGCTCCCCTCCTGGCGGCGCACAGCCCACTGAGCTCCGGGTCCGGAACGGAACTGTCCTCCGGAACCCAGGCTGCGCGCTCGGAGTTTCCGGGGGGGCAGGAGGACCGAACAGGACCTGAGCGCGGCGGGTCCTACGGCTGCGACCGAGGCGATGGCCACGGCGGTCTGGGCGCTGCGGCTCTGGCGGGCCGCCCCCAGGGGCGAGGCTGGCTGGAGTGAGTGTCGGCGGCCGCGGGGACGGCGAGCGAGGCTTAGAGGATGGCGTCTGCCCAGACTGGGCCGGAGGCGGGTGCTGGGAGGTCCCGCGGGGCTGAGGGCGGGGGGTCGGGGGTCGGGAGGGCTGGGCCAGGCCGCTGGAGGAGCGTGGGGCGCCCTTGGGAAGGAGCCCCGTTCCGGTGCACGTCTGTCCTTGTAGTCCCGCTGGGACACTCGTGCTTGCCTTGTCAGAGCTTCGGACTTGGCTTCGTTAACTAAGGGAAGCATTTCTCCCCCAGCTGTTGCTGATTTTGGCGTGGCACCTCCAGTCCCCTGGAGCTTCGTTGTTGTCCCCGAGACCGTATCAGAGCGACGACTGGGCTCACCTTCCCAGCGATCGGTCTAGTTTTGACTCCACTTCCTGGTTACTTGTTGCCCCTTAGTGGGAAACACAGATTGGAATACGACACAGGAAAGGAGTGGGAAACGGAGACCTGATGGTGAAAGAGCAGAGTTGAAGGAAAGGCGTGGATCTGGGCTACCAGCGGTTTTCCTCCGTTTAAATATTAGACAGTGGTTTAACTTGACCACTGAACGCACTTGGACGAACGGCGATTAAAATTCTCTTGTTTGCTGTTCTTGTTGGGGGAGGGTGGTGATGCGGGAGTCGAACACGGTGGGGTCGGCGCTGTTAGGCCTTGTTTTGTTTTTTGTGTTTTTTTTTTTTCAACGTTCTTATTGTAATTTCTATACAGGATTTACAGCAACATCGCCAGCCTCTCAGCGGGCACCAAAGGAACTGATAGAAATGCAGAATGACCTCTTTAATAAAGAAAAGAACAGGCAGTTATCATTAACTCCCCGGACAGAGAAGATTGAAGTTAAACACGTGGGCAAAACTGACCCTGGCACTGTGTTTGTGATGAATAAAAACATTTCAACCCCTTACAGCTGTGCCATGCGTAAGTAACGAATTAGGATACAGTTTTGACTCCTTGGGAACACTGGTGCAGAGGAGACACGATGCTGGAATTGCTCTTTCAGTGCCCCAGAAGTTCTCCTTTATCTGACATCTTACTGTCTGTCTGCTGGCGCTTTAGCTCTTGAGAGTGCTGTGGGTGTTGCAAGCTTGGCACTGGCATGCACAGGCTGTGCTGGTATTTGATTGAATGTGGCTAAATTTAGGGTTCTGTAATTGTTTCTGGTAAAGGAGGCAGACTGAAGCCATCGCTACGAGTAGCTCGGCCCTTTTCGCACGCTGGTGTCATGGGAGCAGTCACCATGAGGGTCTCCTTCCAGGATTTTGGGGTACATGGACCACCTGCCTCAGAAGACCAGCTGTTTTGGCCTTTCCCTTTCTTAGTTTTTATAGCCTCGCTTAAATCGTTTATCTGCTTTCCACTTGCCTCTCTGTATGTTGTGTTTTTGTTTACATTTACATGTATATGGTAAATATGGAAGTGGAAATGTTTGGGGGGAATGATTGGAGTAAAAATGTTTGTTGTATTCATATCTTAAGGGAGATGCTGTGCGTGGTGGTGTGTGACTTGGTGTGGAAATGAAGGGAATAGTGCCTCTATATTTTTATTGTTTATTTTTGATCAAAATGCTTGTATAGTGGCTTTGATAAAACTGGTAATATTTAAATTATAAAGCACCCCCTCCTCCAAATAGATATACACCCACGTGCTCACTTATATATATGACTAGTTGCATTGTTCAAACTTTTGGAAAACTCAGTAATGATTCCATTTGAGTAACAACTTTATCAGCTTAAGTTGGCCTATAAAGTGTGTACTGTCGATATTCATTTACTCTGGTATTTGAATTAGTATTTATGATAATTGTTTATTTTTACTTTTGGGCATTTATTGACCCTCTGCTGGATGATAGGTGTTATTACAAAGGAAGATAAGAGAAAGCTCAGGCCCTTAACGAGCTTTATTCACGTCACATGGAAAGATGAATGAAGCCTGTGAATCACCCTCAGCAGGACCCCTGTGCTGAGACTTGCTTGTTATTCAATAAACTTACATTGAGTGCTAGACTCTGGATGTGTACTGATGAGTGAGCAAGCATAACTGTGATCCTCTCTTTGTAGAACTGATACAGGGTCTGATAATTTAGACCCTGTAGTTTGACCACTTTTGTGAGTAGCTGTTACCCGAAAACCATCGAATTAGGGAAGTAAGAGATAGTTTGGGAGCAGGACCCCAAACCCACCTAGAACAGATTTACTGTGGAAGTATAGTTATATATTTATCCTTTTCGTCTTAAGTTATGTGTGCATATTCCAGATATACCCATGATGCTGCTCTCTGAATATTTAAGTGTAGCTCTTGGAAATTGTTTTATTAATTAATAATTGACAAATTAATTTCAAACTAGACTTAGCCTTAATGAGTTTTGTAAATGGTTTGGGCAATTTTGTTAATAATCACAATGCATTGGGTGTGTTGGGTATTATTTCTTTATGGGTTACAGGAGTAATATATAATATTTTTTCTCCAAAAAAAAGACAGCTTGCAAAATCTTGCCTTTCTATTGTTTTATTTCTTAATGTAGCACGTAAGCATGTAGCTTTCACGTTGAATGTTGTTTGATTTTGACCTTCAATCCATTTTAAATTTCTAGATTTAAGTGAGTGGTACTGCAGGAAGTCCATTCTGGCCCTTGTGGACGGACAGCCGTGGGACATGTACAAACCTTTGACCAAGTCCTGTGAAATTAAATTTCTCACTTTCAAAGATCATGATCCAGGGGAAGTTAATAAGGTATTCTCCCTCTGTCCCCAGTTTTTTTCTTTTCATTAAAATCTATTTTCTGTGAGGTATGAAATATGCAAATATAGCCAACATCAAATGTACTGTACTAGATTGTGTTTTCCTTGTTAGATTAGGCATCTTCATAGTTCATAAAATACCAGTGGCTCCATGTATTTTGGATTGAGAAAATGATATGGCATGCCTTTTCCGTTTATATCTTTGTCCAACTGACCCTTATTGATAACCCCCTATGTTGCGGGTGATTTCATTCTCACTGTTATGCTGCTGCTGGAATTCAGGCTTTGACCATCACCTCTGGATTCTTTCAAGAATTTTTTTGACTCTCTGCTCTTCCCTCTTTTTTAATACTAAAGTGTTCCTTACTAGTCCTATGAGAGTTTTACTAAGTGACACCCTTACCCGTAAAGGACTTGCCTAGAGGATAGTGGTTCGTGTAGCTCTCTGGGCCTGTGTGATGGGGCCCCAGCCTGCCTTTGCGCTTCCTCCCCGTTGCATCCTCCTGCTTCCTTTTTGCTCTGGCCACGCCAGGGGACGTGGTCACTGATGGCTTGTCCTGCGTTAGCCTACTTGCTTTTGTTGCTACTCTTCCTTCAACTCTGAGCATTTTCTTTCCTCTTCATTAAAATCCTGCTTATCTTTTATAGTTCAAATAAAATGCCATCTGCTCTGTGGAAGGTTCTTAGTTTCTTCTTGTCAGAATTCCTTTTTTCTTTAAGGCCTTATAATACTTGGCTAGTGTCTCGAGATATACTATTTTAATTTAAATTCTAGGTAAAATATGAGATTTAAGTTTAACTTTTAATATTTTAAATTTAATTTGGCTCTGCAAAGACCGGGATCATGTCCCTTATTGGACCCAGTCCTTATACTACATATAGGAGGAATTTAATAATATTTGTTGAAATGAAATACTTAAACAAGAAAATGATAGACATGATAATAGTAACATTATTGAGTACTTATTATGTATCAGGCACTGTCTTAGCTGATTTATAGGTATTAACTCATTTGTCATAAAAATCCCATAAAATAGGCGCTATTATCCCCAATTTCCAGATAAATAAACGGATGTTGAGTAGCTTGACCAAGGCTTCCATTCCAGTTTAGGAAGTGGTGGAGCCTGGATTTGAATCTAGGCGTTCTGATTCTGAAGTTCAACAGACATGAAAAACATTTATGTAGGATGTGTGAAGAAGTGCATTTTGCTACTTGCCTTCAAGGCCTGGGTTTGTACTTATCTTTAGTGTTTGTCAGGTGGTTGTGTAGAATACACTCTGGAGCAATCTGCCACATAGAACCAGGTGAGCTCACCTTGCAGTCCTCAGATGTGGAGAAGAACTTATGAAACTCAAGTGCCCAGTTATAGTAGTGCCAGTATGGGGCATAAGATGGACAGGTTATGTGCGGGACTCGTGTTTCTATTTATAACTCTGATAAGGTCTTATATGGATACCCATATCAGGCATGACCATGGATCAAAATGTTCTAGTAAAATGAAAGCCTGGTTACTAGTGAGGTTGCTTTGCTGTATATGTGATTAACTTGAGTGATGTATGTGATGTTATGTATAGGAGTCATAAATGATCCTTGAAAGTTGAGTTTTCCCTCCATACTTACATATGGTATAAACAGGTACATATTAATGTACTTACTTTACTTTATTACAAGTTTGTTAACAAATTAACTTTATCCTGGGCTAAAAATAAAGTTACTATCAGAGAGTAAAACTATCTGTTGGTTGCTATCTTGCACAGAAACATTGTTAACAATACAAAGTAGGCGTTTCATTCATCTGTGGGTTTTGCTTGGTATAGATAATATCATGGCCTTATGGTAGCTATTGCTATATGCTGAAGATGGACAGATATTTGAGAAGTATTTCCTAAGTCAAAAGTTAATGTAAGGGCCAGCTGAGTGGCTCAGTTGGTTAAAAGTGCAAGCTCTGAGCAACAGGGTCACCAGTTTGATTCCCACATGGGCTATTGAGCTGCGCCCGAGCTGAGCTGCTGCTGAGCTGCCAACAGGTGGCAGGATGGCTCAGCTGGTGAGAGCACATGCTCCTAACAACAAGGTTGTTTCAACTCCCTCATGGGATGTTGGGCTACACCCACCTGCAACTAAGATTGAAAACGGCACCTTGAGCTGAGCGGCCATGAGCTGCCGATGGGCGGCTGGATGATGACTGAACTTGGAGTTGAGCTAGCTGCGCCCTCCACAACTAAGATTGAAGTACAACAACTTGGCTGTTCCCCTTCCCCAATTCCCCAACACTGTTCCCCTTCCCCAATTCCCCAATAAAATCTTAAAAAAAGAAAAAAAATTCAACGTACATTTTAATGTTGAATAATCTTCATTTAATCTTAGTGTGTATATTTGTGTCTATTTTATTTTTCTAGGCTTATTGGCGTTCTTGTGCCATGATGATGGGCTGTGTGATAGAGAGGGCGTTCAAAGATGAATATATGGTCAGTTTGGTCAGAGCTCCAGCAGTTCCTGGTAATGTATAGATATAAATTATAAATATAAATATAAATATACTTTTTGTAATCTTTGAATGTTTTGGGACCTACTCTTGATGCTATATAGAGTTAATTTCTAATTTTATCTAATATAAATTATCATCATACATATATTCTGTTTATTGTGGGTGATAAAGTTCATCCTTCATTATTGGAGGTCAATAATTAATGTAACAGAATTAGAGGAGACTCTCTTGAATATGAAGTTCATGTAATTACGTTTCTCAGTGTTTATTTCTTACCACTTTAAGAATTTATTTTGAAACTGTGTGGAGGACAAGGCAATGGGAGTATAACTAGACTAATGGAGAAAGACATACTTAGGTGGTACCATGTCACGGAAATGACCATGACACTGGAGGGACACCATTTTGGGGAGATGGAAGAGTTCATAGTTCTTGTAATTTTGTTAAAACTAGGATTTTGCAGTACGATGTGTTGTAGGATCACATTTGTATTTAAAAAATGTAGAAATATATTTGAAAAGTTCAGTAAGTGATTCTAAGAAGGAAAAAAAACAACAAAAAGATAGGTAAGAGATACTAAAAAAGAAATTCAACATTTTATGCCCATTTAGTCATTTATCTCATTAAATATCTTGTTCTTTGGAAATTATTATATCTAGTAACTATTTGAAATTCCTATGATAATATTTCTGAAGAAAACTTGAATGTTTAAAAAATACTCATGTTTTTGGGTTAATAGATGAGTTAATTTTTTGGTGGGGGGAAAGTTGATAGAGCTCTGGCAAGTAGCTGGGATAATAGTTATAGTGTTATAATTTGTAGAGTTGGGGGAGATTGCTAACCCTTCATTTATGGTCTAAATATTCAGTTGTTGCAAATTCGTAGCTGTCTACCATAACAGATTTGACTTGCCTTTTATTTTGATTGGATTTATAGTAGTCGCTGGAGCCTTCTGCTATGATGTGGTTTTGGATAAGAGACTTGATGAGTGGATGCCATCAAAAGTAAGTGTACTCTTTGGAGTATTAATTTTAGAGACTACTTTTCTTTGTTAGAATGATTCCTTTGTTAGTATTGTTGAATGGTGCTGCATGTTAAGGTTATTTAAAGGAATGAATCTGCCTTCCTCTCTTTCTCTCTATCTTGTTGCTTTTTCAGTGTATGTAAGACAGCAACATATGAATGAAGGTACTCTCAACAGCATGGTCAGTTGTATGGAAGCTTTATGCCCTGCTTGACCTTTTCTTGAAATGCTTTCTTCCTTGTACAGTTCCTTATGTTCCTTAAGATAGTGGTTTTCAAGATGCTTAGAATATATGAAATACAGAAGCTGAACTACTTGGTTGCTGTGGTGGGGGTGGGCCTGGAGCCTTAAACTTGGATCCCCAGGGCACAGTGTGAGAACTTGTCCTGAATTCATTAGCCTGTTGCATACTGTGAGATCCCCTGTAAGCAAGGGCCACACTGAGAGCAGGGATCAAGTAAAGACTCAGACTTTGACTGCCGCTAACCCAGCTAGCAGCAAACTAAATTGCAACACATTGGCTTTCCCATGAATGGGCTGCCCTGGTCAGGAGGGTGCTCCTTATTGGAGAAGTTAAGTAAAAACTCATGAAATCAAGATTCAAATCTCATTACCTTTGAAACATGCTGTCTCCTTTTCCTTTTTTTAAAGATCAAACTTAAAAAAAAAAAAAAGTACTAATTAGCTAATTGCAAGTTCCCTGGGGTTGGGTGCACAGCTTAGAAAAAGGCGGGAGAGTTACGTTCAGGTAGCAGCTATATTAATCATGAATGCGGATTTGTTGTACAGTAAATTTTCCATTCAAGAATGGAGACGAGTCATTTCATGCAAAAAACTCTAACAGGAAGTTTATGCAAAGAATTTTACTACAAGAATTATTTGCATTATAGTGATCTCTTTGTTAGTAATGATTTATAGTATGAAAACTCAATTATCATTTTTATTAAAAATCTCAAACATTGGTAATGTATATTATTAATCATTTTAATTGTGTAAAATTGACATTTTCATTAAACAGAAAGTTATATTGGAAATGTGCTTTATTTTGTACAGGGCCAATGATGACATTATATTTCCTAGTGAAACTTTCTGAATCATATAAATAATAACTTTTTGCCCATGCATTTATATGGTTGTATGATTTGAATGAGATGTTTATTAAAATTTCTTCGTATTATCTTTAAGAATTATTAATACAAACTGATAATTACAAGTAAATTGCAAGTTTTATGGAGTTGGGAAAAATTTCTAACCCTACATTTTATGGTCCAAATATTTAATTGTTGCAAACTAATAACTTTCTTTTTTAACATTTGATTTACTTTTTATTTTAGCTAGATTTAGAATATTAAGTATACAATTTATCTTATCTGCCTTGTGTAGAAATGTTTTTAAGTAAGTCGTTAAAAAAGGTTAATTCTTTCATTTTTAAGGAGAACCTACGTTCCTTCACAAAAGATGCTTGTGCTTTAATTTATAAAGATCTTCCATTTGAAACTCTGGAAGTTGATGCAAAAGTGGCACTAGAAATATTTCAACACAACAAGTAAGTGCAGACTTCCCTTAAAATGAGATTATACCTTCCCAAATTATATGCAGTGAAGAAAATTCAGCTCTTAAGAATTTTTATATTTGAGGTTTGTAGGACACTGTTTTATTTTTAGCTCTAAGATCTCTTTTTCTGCACCATCCTATTTACTTTTGTTCATCTCATTATTTATTTCACTGTGAAAAGCTCTCCTCCCCACTTTGATAATTTTCCCACTTTGTTTTACTTTTACTTCTTTGTTCCTTCGGCCAGTCCTTCTCTGTACATCAGCATAGCAGTGTGTTTTCCCTTTTTCCTTCCATTGTGAAGCGATAGCATATATTAAATAATTATTATTTAGTCCATTTGGCAGCCTTTCCATCCCTCCTTCCTCTCTTTAAAAGAAAGGGTAAGATAGAAAATGCCAGCCATTGGGAGGGCGCTGACAGCTGGAGTAAGACATTTCCACAGCCAGCTCGTAGTCTTCTGCACGGGAATCATCCATTCGATGGATTTTCTTTGTCAACATCTTAAATCCTTCCTGGTTTCTCAGTTCTCTTTCTCACTTAGAAAACTTCCAGTTCACCTTCTTCTACTAGCTGTAAGAACACAAACTAAATTTTAATATTAATCTAATTGAAATTGAACTAATTAGAAAGGCAATCTGCATTGCAAAAAAATAACATAGGTACTAGATTCTGAGGCCAAAATATGCACCTGCGTATTGTTAAAGGTTACAGATTAGAATTTCTATAGGTATTTAGTAATTGAGGCATACCTTCTCATGGGGACAGGTTAGTTTGTGAAAGCCTTCTTCAGCTATTGGGTTGTCGGAAAAGTCATGACGCATTTTTGCAATGAAAAACATAGAAAAAAATACATCATGACTTTTCTGACAACCCAATATATTCTAGCTTGGCATTTTTCGAAGTGATATGCCTCAGAATATTCTCCCATAGATGTAATTGTTTTGTTGAAAATATGTACTGTGTTCGACTGAATTTGGAGAACAGTGGCATAAAAAATATTTACTCATGTACTATGAAGCCTCCCAAAGTAGCAATAGAAAACATTTTCCAAATGTATTGGCCTGTGTACCCCTTTTGCTTGAAGTATTTTTTAGCATATTCGGGAACCAGTGTTTAGAAACCAGTAGGAATATGCTATTTTAACTGAACTAGAGTACAAATAGTATTGTAGAACCAAACCACCACTGATTCCATAAGAATGATGGTTTGGTTCTGTAGTTGTATTTGAATATAAAGGATTATCAGAACATATCAAGTCACCTCCTATGCTAAAATTCTAGGGCCATGCTGTCCAATAGAAATATAATGTGAGCGTGTTTGTAAATTTTCTAGAGGCTGTATTAAAAGAAAAGCAAAACAAGAAAAGGTGAAGCTAATTTTGATATACTTTATTTAAATAATATATGTAAAATGTTATCATTTCTACTTGTTATCAATATATAAAAAAGTAATGATATTTTATATTCTCATCTTTGTTCTGAGTCTTCAGAATCTGGTGTGTATGTTACACTTAAGCTACATTTCAACTCGGACTAGTTACGTTTAAGTGCTGTCAATTACCGCATTGGACAGTATCCCAGGCTTTCGTTATACGTAACTGAGATTTCCTTTTCCCACACTCAACTGTCAAAGTCTAGGAGAGGCTTGTAGGACTTTGGTAACTTAGTGAAATGTGTGGAGGGAGGGAGCGGATGGTTTGGGGGTAAGTTTAAGGGAACAGAAGAGTCTGCGATGGTTGGTGGTGGATCAGTAATGGGCCTTGGCTTTGGCCCAGGGGACAGGAACATCTCTTAGAGATGGGTCAGGACACCCAAGTATTCAGGGAATTGTCTCCTTCAGTGATGCTTGGGAGGCTGTGGCTGGAGGTGTGGTAAGTGGATGTTTTTGCATAAACCAATGCTCGCTCGCGCTCTCTCTCTCTCTCTCTCTCTCTCTCTCTCTCTCTCTCTCACACACACACACACACACACACACACACACACACACACACACACACACACACTATTTAGCACTCTGGGGTGAATAGACAGGGCTCTTGATAGTAAGTAGTAAAGTCATGATTTGAACCTGGGCTGTGAGGTTCCATATCTGCTATTACTGTCCTGACAAAATGGGTAGATTTGAGAGACATTTAGGCAGAACTGACTGACTTGGTAATGAAATGGGCTGTGGTGGGAAAAGGGGGAGTCAAGGAAATCTCCCAAATTTTTCACTTGGACACGTGGGTGGTTGGTGGTGCCATTTGCTACGCTAGGAATAAGAACAAGTTTGGTGGGAAAAGGGGGGATAATTTTTTGTTTAGTTGTGAGAATTTGGGAGTTTAAGGTGCTTGGGGAACACCCTGGTGATCTTGAATGTACAGTTTGGGGCTCAGAAGAGGTATGTGGGTTAGAAGCAGAGATGGGGAGGCTACAAATGCTTAAATGGTCATTAAAGCCGTGCAGTCAAGGAGCTAGCTCAGCAGGGATGCTTTGAGAGTGAAAAGAGGCCTATGACACCATGAAAAGGTGAGAAAGAGAAGAGTGACCAGAGAGGTGAAACAAGAAGCATTTTGGGAAGTGGAGTTGAGCAGTGGTATTAAGAAAACGAGGACACACAAGTGTCCATTAGGCTGGCACCAAGGAGGGCCCTGTGGCTTTGGCGACAGCAGTTTGGTGGAGTCATGAGGCTGTGAAGGAGGCGGGGTGTGAATCGGGCATAAGGAGAGGAGGCTTGAAGTGTAAACCATTGTTTCAAAAACGATGGCTGACGTGGAAGAGAAAGGGAGGTTTCTTAAAACACCTTTTTGTATATTTATAATTACAATTTTTTTTCTTTGCTGCTTTTTAGGTATAAAATAGATTTCGTAGAAGAGAAGGCATCTCAGAACCCTGAGAGAATAGTCACGTTACACAGGTAAGTAAAAATAAAAAAATTGGGTGCTATGCTAATTTATAGTAGAGTTGAGCTTTATCATTACCTGAATGTAGTGTACAATTGAAAAGGATGAATTTGTATCTCTTTTCTTATTCTTATTACCTTATTTCCTATTGCTTTGTTCATTGGTTTGATATGGTGGTAACTGGAAGCTTTAAATTGTCTTCTGGAATAGTTGTGGTTTCTGTTCCTCATTTTATTGTTATTTTTATTTCTGCATTTCAAGAGTTGAAAACCATTGTTTAAAAATGTAAGTTTTTAGAGATAATTTTGAAATTGAGCAAAATAGTCATTGTGAATTGCACATGAGAATTCATATATATATATATATAGAAATATGAATTCTGACTAATTAGTTACTACTTATATATTGTCAATTATCAGATTTTGAGGTTTTATGTGTTTATTTTTAAAATCAAATCAGGTTTGGTGACTTCATCGATGTGAGTGAGGGCCCTCTTATTCCAAGAACAAGTATTTGTTCCCAGTATCAAGTGTCAGCGGCTCACAATCTTCAAGCCACCCAGACAGGTCTTATACGAAGATTCCAGGGTCTCTCTTTACCTGTTCACTTACGAGTAAGTAAAGCTTCAAGTTTCAGGTCACCCAGCTTGGGAGTGGGTGTGATTGTGGTCTTGATTTTATACAGTTTGAAGGACATACGTTTTAATTTTCATTAAATTGTGTGACACTAATATTTTGTAAAGTCGGGTTTATGATTTAAACACAGTTTTGCCCAGGATGTAAACAGATAATTCATAAAAGAAACATTAGTTGAAAAAATCAAATCAAAATGAGATAGCATTTTTAATTTTTCAAATTAGTGTAGAGGAGGGTGCATTGACGAGTATTGGAGTGAACATTGCTAAGACCTTCTGGAATGCCTCTTTGCCTTACTTTGGGCATGCTCTTCTCCCTAATTTTTATGATCTAGTCATGACCCAGGGCCTCTCATTTTCCATAGTGCTCTCATCCTTGCTAACCCTTTTTTAATTAAACTTGATTTGAGATAACTGTAGATTCAAATAATACAGAGAGGTCGCAAGTACCCTTCCCTACTTTCCCCAGGGGTAACATCTTGAAAAACTGTAGTACAATGTTACAGCCGGAGTGTGGACATTGATCCAGTGTAGATACAGAGGAGTTCATTTCTTCACGGGGATCCCGCATGTTGCCCTTTTGTAACCACACCCACTCCCCTCTGCCCCGCCCCCATTTCCTTGCATCTGGCAACTATTTCTCTGTTCTCTATTTCCATAATTTTGTCATTTCAAGACTGCCACGAATGGGATCATGTGTTATATAATCTTGTGGGATTGGCTTTTTTCACTTGGCATCATTCTCTGGAGATTCATTCATGTTGTGTGTATCAGTATATCACCAGTTCATGCCTGTGTAATGTTGAGCAGTTAGTATTCCATGGTGTGGATGTACCACACTTTGTTTAACCATTCACCTCTTAAAGGATATTTGAATTGTGTCTGGCTTTTTGGCTATTATGAATAAAGGTTCTGTGAGCATGTATGTACAGGCTTCTGTAAATATAGTTTGATATTGCTCTGGGATAAATGTCCAGGAGTACAATTGCTGAGTCAAATGGTAGGCACACACTCAGTTTTTTAAGAAACTACCAAACTGAGTTCCAGGGTGGCTGTACCATTTTACACTCCCACCAGCAATGTGTGAGTAACCAGTTTTTCAAATCCTTGCCAGCATTTGATATTGTCACTATTTTTTATTTTAGCCATTCTGATTGGTTTGTAGTGATTTCTCATTGTGGTTTTAATTTGCATTTCCATATTGGCTAATTATATTAAACATCTTTTCATGTGTTTATTTGTTATTTGTATATCATTTTTGGTGAAATATCTGTTTATGTCTTTTGCCCATGGTTTAATTGGATTTTTTTTAATTGTTGAGTTTTGAGAGTTTTAAAAAATATATTCTAGATGCCAGTCCTTCATTAGATACATAGTTTGCAAATATTTTCTGTCTTTCTGTAGGTTGGCCTTTCATCCCCTGAACAGACTTTTGCATATCAGAAGTTTTTAATTTTGATGAAGTCCGGTTTATCAGTTTTCCCCTTTGTGGATCACACTTTGGGTGTCAATTTTAAGAATTCTTTGTCTAGACCTAGATCCCAAAGATTTTCTCCTGTTCTTTTTCCTAAAAGTTTCATAGCTTTATATTTAATTTTGTGGTCCATTTTGAGTTAAGTTTTATATGTCAGGTTTGAGTTGAGGTTCATGTTTTTCTTGCCTGTGGATGTCAGATTGCTCCAGCACCATCTGCTGAACAGGCTGCCCTTTCTCCATGGAATTGCTTTTGCCCCCTTGGTAAAAATCAGTTGGACATATTTGTGTGGGTCTAGTTCTAGGTTTGCTGTACCTTTCCATTGATCTGTGTCTGTCCCTCTGCCAATATCACACAGGCTTGATAACTGTAGCTATAAATAGCTCTTGAAATAAGGTAGTATAATCCCTCCCATGTTATTCTTTATAAAAATTGTTTTAACTACTCTAGGTCCTTTGTCTTTCCATTTAATTTTACGGTAATCTTTATAGGCAAGTCTTACTGGAATTTTGATAGGAATTGTATTAAACCTGTATATCAATTTGGGGGGAATTGACATCTTTATTGAGTCTTCAGTTTCTGAACACAGTATCTCTTTTCATTTATTTAAATCTTCCTTGTCTTTCATTAACATTTTGTAATTTTTAGCATACATGTCCTTTACATGTTTGATTTTTCTCTACATACCCGCTTTCTTTCCTAGCTTTCTCCATTTCAGAAAACAGCATCATCATTTACCAGCTGTTTGAAGTAATTCTTGATTCTGTTTCTCTCATCGTCATGCCCCATCCCTTCCATCGGCAAGTCCTTTCAACTCCTAATTCTAAAACACAGCCTGAGTCCATCCACTGTGTAGCGTGTCATCTACTTCTGCTTCCCTCCTCCAAGTTCCTCCTACTCTTCACCCCCCTTCCTTCTTTTCATTCTTCTCCTTAAGCGCATTCTCCACTTAGGAGCCAAAAGGACCTTTTAATTCACAAATCAAATCATGTAGTCCCTCTGCCCCAAACTTTCCAGTGGCTTTTCATAATCAAATTCTAACCCTTACTGTGTCTCGGAAAGTCCTTCATTCTCCGGCCCCCGCCTACCTGTCTGACTTCATCTCATACAACTTGCTCCAGAACCCACTGTATTCCAGCCACGCCGTAAGGTTTTGCTCCAGCTGTTCCTTCTGCCCGAGTCAGGCACATGGTTTTCCCTTTAAACATACCATGCTACTCTTCTCTCTAGAAGGGTTTGCATGTACGTATTTAGTAATTTTACCTTTTGTGTTAAATTTTACCCGCTTGCTTATTCACTGTGAAATAGTCACTGGCCGACCCATATCACTCAGTATCCCCTTCGACTGAATAAAATTGATGTGGTCGTTATGCACTTTGCACAGTTTTCTTTAATTCATTCTGATAATCCTCTGCTACATAAGATTGTTAAGATTAAGAAAATCGGCTCTAAATTTTACTGTTGTCTTCATTAGATTTTACTTGTTCTTTAGGGTAATTTGCTAAATCCTCTTGGTCTGCCATTTTAGTACGAGGGCGTCACAGTTGGTTCTTAAATGAATCTCTCCTGTGATTGATTATGATTTGAAGAATGACCTCTAGAGGGTTGAAATTGGCTATTTAAGGAAAGAACCATAATCTATGGGAAAGGGGGGCAGAGTTTTGCTCCCCATTATAAGGAATGCTTTCTATGATTGTGATGATTAAGCAGGGCAGGGGGAGAAAAAGCACATTCAGTGCCTAGGTCTTTTTTCCTTAAATGCCAAACAAAGCAGCTGTTCTATATGGTACCTTTTTCCCTACTCTAATCCATGTTTATAACCATTGGGCCTCATCAGTACAGCCTGACTTTATGTATTTGTTTTGTTTAAAGCTTGTATAAAGACTCATCCTCTTTTATTTTTAACTTTGCTTATTTAATTCATAGTAAATTTTTTCTTTTCAAGGCACATTTTACAGTATGGCATAAGCTATTGGAAAGGTCTCGGAAAATGGTAAGTGTTGACAGTTAATGAGCACTTTCTACAAAGAAATTTTTGCTGAAATTAAGCAACAACAACAACAACAAAAAAAAAAGAGAAAGAATGAAAAAAAGTAATCGGTTGTCTCAATAGCTAAAGCAGTTTTGCAGTTGTTGACTCCGTTAGTATTTTGGCAAGAGAAAAATTGTAACTTGGTAATTCTCTTTTGATTTTATTTGTTAATATATGTGAATGATACTGTAGAACTTGAGGAGATAGAAGAATGGTGCTACGTAGCAGTAGTTGTTAAAGGTTGTAATGGTGTTCATTAAGTCTTATGGTAATTTTTTGTGTACTTAATGAACATTTAAAGGATTAAGATTTGTAAGATGTATTTTAAAGCTGCCTTGACTGTTGACATGTTAAATGCGCAAATGTCCTGAAAAATCAAATTTAAAATCTTGTGTTTTGTAGTTTATTCCATGTCATTAGCCTTTAGATTTCACAAGTTGGAATGATTATATTTCTCGACCACAACTATCTCTATTCACGCTAAATGGTAATCTTTTACTTAAATTATCTGGTAGCTGTCCTGTGTAATCCAGTCACACGAACCCTTCCTTGTTCCCTAATTTTCCACTCTGGTCAAGCTTGCAGGCACACTGAGCAGCGTGCATCACAGTGCTTTTCAAGCTTATTTGTTTCTTCGTGACAGTTCTTCCATCTGGACTTCATTTCCCCTTCGCCTCCTGTTTACATCCTAGTTATCCTTCAATACCTCGCCCAAGTCTCACTGTCTCCTATGAAACATTCTCAGAAGAATCTGTTACCAAATATCCATTTGTACTATTTCTGCTTCTCAAACTGTTTCCTGATTGTTTTTGCTAGAATATTACATTCAATCTGTTAACCCATTTAGGGTTTGTTATATATGTGTAACCCCAAAATTTGAATCTAACATTTGACACACAGGGTGGGGGGGTTACCTAATAAATATTTATTGATTATTTTTTATGATGATGGTTAAACATAGTCTGTATTAATAAATTTACAGGTAGAACTTATTGTTTAGGTACTACTTAGCCATAATAGCCTTGTGTAAAATTTATGTAATTTTCTTTTTTTTCATGAAAATAATGTATATTTGAATGGATGGAATAACTGTCTCTTTGGTTGGTTACAGCGATCATTTTAGATGAAAACTAGAGAAGAAATAAGTATATAAGAAATGGTTTAGGGAAACTCAAGAAGCGATAATTATTGAATACTTTAAAGCAAGGAAAAATGCAGAAAAGTAGTAGAGACAGTAGCCTGGAATATCTAGTAGAAATCAGTGAGCGATTAGCTGTTTTTGAAACATTGACTCTGGTTCAGGTTTCTTCTCCCACTGTCTATTTTGCTTGTCTAAAGGGAGTAAGTAAAACATATGGTGCAGTGATTCAACCAGCACACAATTGAGAGTTTTGTGCCAGAAACTATAGGTACAGAAACGAACAAAACCTACTTGCTGTCCTCAAAGAAGTTCATTTTATGGCATAACTAGACATAAGCAAATAGTTCAGGTGTCCATGTGGGGCCCCGGCATACAGAGGAGTAGGACCCAAACCAAGCGGGGGGGTTGGTTAAGGAAGGTCCCCAGGAGTCGGTGTCCCTTAACCTGGTTTTAAAGGATGAATAGAAGTGGGCCAGCAGATAATTTACTGGGGTGGGTTGGGGGTTATCTCGGAGTAAGCTGCTTGCATAGAGGCCTGGTGGAGAGCATGGTGAATGTGCGATGAGTCTGATGTCCAGTCATGTGTAGGGTGGGTGATGAGTCCAGAGAAGGTTCTTGTAAATCGAGGATTACCGGCTCATTTCCATGATGTAGAGTGTGCATGCCCCTCCTGAAGGTGATTGGGACTAACTGGAGATTTTAGCAAGGAGGTGAGCTGGTGGGCAGCCATTCCTGTTTAAAAGCTCCTGGGAGCAGCGTTGAAGAGGGCTGCAACTGAAGCCAGCACTCTCATTAGAGAGATAGAAGATGATGGCATTCTAAAGTTCAGGCATGACAGTGAGAGTGGCCGTGAGAGTCACTTACGTCGAACTAGTAGGACTGTTGATTGAATATGCAGGTGAGAGAACTGTGGGTTCTCTAATGCCAGGCGTGGGCAGCTGGGGAGCTCTTACCTGCAGTAGCTAATGTAGGAGGTGGAGCAGGCTTGTTTGTGTCTGAGTGACAGAGCACAAGTATGCACATTCAAAGACCTATTTGTCCTAACCCTGTAATGTCCTGTGTTCAAAATAGAATTATACTTTCCAACACATTGATTTAAAATACCTTGTTGCAGCACTGCTCATATTTTTCTCATATTAATGATTTCATTTTAAAGATGAAATATGAAATGACAAACTTGAAAAGCCTAGATATATGCCTCAGATTATATCTTTAATAGAATTGCTGTTCCTTACTTGATAATTTATATAGGGAACTTGGCTTTATGAGTTTTCTTCTCTTTCTACTTAACTTTCTGTAGTAATTACTCTTGGAGGAGAAAGACAGAAGGTCATTATAGGAGAAGGACTGTGGAATGATTTTGAATGGTGGGTGAAGGGGAAAACTAAGTATTTATTAGAAAAGTAAAGCTATTCATGTTTTTACAGGTAACTGAAGATCAAACTAAACCTACAGAGGGAAGTGCATCTGCCTAGTAACTTCCTAAAATTTAAACATGTATAGTAAATGAAAATAAAAGTTTTCTATATAATGTTTGTGTGTGCTTATAAAGAGTATCTTTTTCTCCCTAAGATTTATACTGGTGTTTATTTTTCTTTCTCTAAAGGATAAAACAGCTTAGGTCGTTCACAATAAAAATTTCACCCAGAAACAACCCTGTCCCCTCCTACAATCCAGATGTAATACTTCGGCATGTTTTCTCTTTTCAGTCCTTTTCTGTGTGTATAAACATATATGTACAAATACACATGTAATCTTTTGAAACCATAAATAGGGTCATACTAGCTGTTTCTGGTTTTCACTGTTTTAAAGTAGTGTGGTAAACGTCCTTGGGCGAAATGGCAAGTGTTTTATGGATAGATAGATAAATTAACTGAGTATTTACTAAGTTAATCGAATATTTCCTGTATACTGGCCATGTGCTAAGCCTTTCACATGGAACCTCTTATTTAATCCTCACAACTGCCTGTTGAGAAGGTGTTCCCTTTTGGTAAACGAGGAAACAACACAGAACTGGCAAGTAGAAAAGCTGGGACCTGGAGGCCACTAATTGCAATCCCATGCTCCCATGCACCGCTCTGCACTGCTCACATACAAGTCACTTTGTAGGAATAGATGTCTGGTGGTGGGATTACTGACAGATGCCACCTGATCCTTGCCTCTGAAAGGCTTTGCCAAACTCGGTCCCAATACCAGTGTCCGAGAGTGTCAGTTTCCTCATGCCTTGGGCGAGTCTTGATTTTCAGTCTTTTAACATTGTTTTGCCCCAAGTTTCTTCCCATTCCAGTCTGAGCACTTTGCTTTCTGGGCATGGTGCACATGTTTCATCTGAAGATCTTAATGTCTTCACCCCTGGGTGAGGTCTGCTGTTTCTTCAAGTCCGTATCTTGCTGCTCCTTGAATAACTTTCTCATTTGCTAGAATCCATAGTAGATTCCATCCTAAGAAAAAGTGTTCAAGAGGTGAGCCCAGGCATGTTCAACGTGGCTTTGTTTTGCAATTTACATTTGATCAGCTTTTTGGCTAGATTAGAATTCTAGATTGAAATATAACTTCCTATCAAGAGTTTGAAAGAAGCTCCGTTATCTTCTGGCATCTCATGTTGTTAATAAGTCGGAAACCCGTTTGTTTTTTTTTACTTTTTATGTAGCCTGTTCTCTGCAATCCTGCCTGTCTCTTCACCTCCCATCCTGCCACACACACTTGTACTATGGACACTTTTAGGATCTTATTATTCTTGGTGTCGTAAAATACTACCATTTCATTACGTGTATCTATTGTAGATCTTTAATCAGAGACTCTCGTTGATACTTTCATTTTGACATCTCTCTTGAGATCTAGGAAATTTCTTTTTTTAAAAAAATGTATTCCTTTTTCTTTTCTCTGTTTCTTTAACACTGTTTAGTTGGATTTTGGATCCTCTGTATTGGTCCTGTGTTTTTCTCCTCTCAGTTTTCTTGCATTTGTATTCTAGTCTTTTTAATTGAACTTCTTATGTCAAGCATATTTTATTTTCTGAAAGCTCTTCTGCTTGTTCATAACATCCGTTCATGTTTAACAGGTACAGTATATCTTTTTTTTTTTAATACTAGCTGAGCCATCCTGCCACCTGTTGGCAGCTCAGTGGTAGCTCAGTTTAGGCCGGGCATCGAACTGCTGTTGCTCAGAGCTCACACTCTTGAACGAGCTCTTAACCAACTGAGCCACTCAGCCGGCCTGCAGATACAGGATATCTTTGTGAACTTTCTGAAGATACTAAAATAATTATATTCACTTCATTTATTTCGTAGTCCTTGAGTTACTTTTTTACTGTAGTGACAGATTTTTTGCTTATCTCAGTCTTTCATGTTTCAGGCAGGTTAGGATGAAGCAGGCTGTTATGACGGGGATTTTCTTTTTTTTCTTTAAGAGTTAATTGGGGAATTGGGGGAGGGAACAGCATTGGGGAATTGGGGAAGGGGAACAGATAAGTTGCTGTTCTTTTGTTCTTCAGTCTAGTTGTGGAGGACGTCGCTTCACTGGCCCATGTTGGTATTATCATTGTGCTCTTCTTGCCTGCCAGCCACTCACGGTAGCTTTATGGCAACCCACTGCAGCAGGGGCTGCAGCCTACACCATTGCCAGCGACTCACGGCAGCCCAGCTCCAGGTCGAGCTGTTGTTCATCATCTTAGCTGTAGAGGGCACAGCGTCACTGGCCCATGTGGGGTCCGAACCAGGGCCCTGCTGCTCAGAGCTGGTGTCCCAAGCCAGCTCTTAACCCACGCGCCACTCAGCCGGCCCATGATGAGGACTTTCTAAGTGCTAGAATGAAGAGATCGTCAGGCATGGCAGTCATTTTCAATACTGGCTGCTTTCCTTCTCCCCAGATAGTTCTTCCACTTAGAAGAGATTGCTGGAATATTTTACCTGGGGGCAAATACTTGGATTCAGGGCCTTCTGTATTTGGAGACCCCTTTCTTTTTAGCCCCTCTTTTGTCTCCTGGCACCTCTGACCTGTAGACCCAGCTGAGCAGGTCAGCTTCTCCCTCCAGTGGGACTCCACACGTATTCTAGGTGGTCACATCCTCTACCATCGCATTAGTCACTTCACTTTCCATCTTTTAGAAAGATGTAGAAATTTCTTGTCTGCTGCTACTTTCCTCTTCTAGTCCCTTTGTTGTTTGTGGACTTAACTTTGAAATTTTTTCCTAAAAACAATTATAAAATATTTTGAGCATACCAAGAAGTATGGAAAATACTTGAAACCCCTATTTGAGTGGACATTTTCCCTACTTTTGGGCACCTTGCACTGCTTGCACATGCACTGTTTGGCGACTTCTCATTTTATGGATTTTCATCTCACCAAGTAGAAGACTGGAAGTTAATTTTCTAACTTTCCTTGCAGTTAGGGCTCAGCCAGGTGTCGGAGGCTCACCAATTAGACACACCTGTGTGACATTTGGAAGTGATGCTGTGAAGATAAAGTGGCACGTGGGATCCATTGTGTTGAGGGCAACAGTGGCGTGTGGCTTTCGAGGTAGCAGTGGCCGAGGCTGCATGGTGCCGAGTGAGCCGTGGGGCTGTGCTCAGCATCTCTCCCCCAGCAGTGGCTCTGGTGTAACGGCATTTTTCAGCGCTGTGTAACCTGACCTCTGAGCCTGAGACTGAGGCATTCTTTTCGCTTAAACGTGCTAGAGCAGACCTGATTGTTTGTAACCAAGAATGTTGACATGTAGCCACTACCCAAATTGAACCATTGTTAACCGTATCCCTTACTTCAGATCCTTTTGTTTTTAAGTCAAGAATAATCTACCTGTCCA